TCTATTCTTTTAGAATCATATACATCTTTTAACATAACTTCACAATAATGAAGTTGATTTTCTCCAAAACGTCTTTTTAATAATTCTAAATGACGAATTTCTCGTTCAGTATGATAATTTAATTGAGATAATAATCTATCTGCTAACAATGTACGATATTCATTTACAAATAAATCTTGACTACCATATACATTTACTAACATTGATATTATATCTGACATTCTGCGTTGTGCTGATTTTGCTGTAAAAAAAAGAAAATTAAAATATATTTTATGTTAGTAAATAAAAATGCATGCTTTATTTTAGTTTTTTGTCTTATATAAGATAATAGGAAAGATAAGCCCATATTTTAAATGAAAGTATTATAAAAAAATTATATAAATGTTAAAAAAGAAGTCAAGTAATAAATATCAAAAATGAAAATAGTTATTTAAAAAATGAATTTACAAATGTCAAAATTATTACAAATATTTTTTAAATATTCTATAATAACTGGAAAAAATAGTTTCTTATTCTATATGAAAATTGCAAAATAAAAATTTTTAAATATTTTAAAAGATCAAAAATATTCAAATCAATATAAGTCAATAATATAATAAATAATAATAATAAATAAGTTTAATAATCATAAAATGAATTTTTTTATTCATTTATATCTGTATATTAATAATTATTATATTAATAATTATTAATATAATAATTATTAATATTAATAATCATTTAAATAATTTACTTAAATATTATCTAATCAAATACATGAAATGAATGTAAAAATGAATATGTTGAATGAAAATGAAAATTGAAAACACAATAATTAATAAAGTAAAGTAAATATTTTCATGCATATTTATAATAATCCCTTTATCTTGTTTTGGCATAAATATAAAATATATTCAATGATTTAATTAATTTTTTTAATTCATTATGAACATACCAGGATCAGCATCAACAGGATCTGGCATCCATTTATCCCAATCTTCATTTTCTTCATCACCAGACCCATCATCTAATTGTAAAGATTCACCCTTGACTAATTCATCTGCTAGATCACTTGGTGAATCATCAAGCAAATCACTTACTACACATCGTACAGTATCTTCTCTAGTTCTTAAATAAACTCTAAAAATATCCAAATAAATTTGCAAATTCAATGATAACATTAATTTAAAAAATTAATTTACTTTGAATATTTTATAATAATTACTTAATAGGTTCTGTTATTGTTTCAAGAAGAACACCTGTGGGATCCAATTGTCTCAATGCTCTTATAGCTGCAATATATGCAGTTATTATATCTGGTGTATTTACACCTGGATGTAATAATCTTGTTTTTAAAGCTTCTTGTAAACTTTCTATTAATACTTTCCGTAAATCAGTTCTTTCTAAACAAACACGTAAATCATCTATTGCAGGTTGAGAATCAGGATATTCTACAAATTAAAAAAAATTAATAAAAATAATATATAAATATATACATGTATATATAAAAGAATATATGAACTGAAACAATTTTTATGACCTATTATAATATCAAAGAGTTGTTCAATTCTAAATCTTGTATATGTTTCATATAAGAAATGAGATAATTTTTGTTTAAATTTGTCTATTGCATTACGAGTTTGATCACTTAAGAATGTAATCTTTGAGAAACCACCAGAATATATTCTTATTAACCAACTCATAACAACTGTTTCAAGCCACTAAAATAAAATATAAAATATTGATTATATATTTATTGAATATTAGTAAATGATATAAATATAGTTTATATTATATGAATAAAATATAATGAAATCTTACATTTTCTAAGGATGTTAATTGTGATACATCAAATGTTTTATCACATGATTGATTCACATGATTTTTAATACGTATATGTATTAATGATGTAAGAACATTACCAACTAATCTTTCTAATAATTCTAATTCAATTAATTTCCCATTTGTTTCATGAAACATGTATACTATCATCTGACATTGACATTTTTCCACTTCTTGATAACAACCCATACATTTTCCAGGATCACTTCCAATAGTTACTATAAAATAAATAATTTTATTTGAATTTAAATTTATATACTGTAAATTACATTTATATACTTAAATATTTAAATTATATTACTTTTTATGATTAAATTATAAATTTAGCGAGTCATAATAATAAAAGATTATAAAAATAAGTATTAAACAAATAAAGAACAATATGTAAAATATTTTATAATGTCAAATACCTTGCGCAGAACCATCTGCACTACAAAATATATTGAATGCAATTTTATAAAATTGTTCAACTATATGCTCATAATGAAGTGGCAATTGACTTAATAATGTAGATCGCACAATTAATTTAAATCGACTTAATACATTTCCATTTGTTATAGATTGAGTTGTTTCATTTTGTATCAAATATTCTAACCTTTTCAATAATGGTAAAAATTCTGTTAAACTTGTATATAATCCATCTACTGCACTTTTAAAATGTTCAAAACCTTGTTGTTCATTTATATTATTTATAAACTTCTTCCAAAATGCAGGTGCTACATTTTGTCGAATATATAATTCTATATGATAAATAACTACATCTTCAACAAATGGTGTTAAATCCAATGTCTTTATTTCTTTAACCACATCAATAAATTCTTTATCTGAACATTCATTTTGAATCTATAAAAACAAATATAAATTAAAAATATATTTTAAGAATATTATATCTATTTGATTGATTATTAATAAATAATCAATCAAATATAAAAAAAAATAATTAATATTTTTAAATATTTTTATAAGATATTATTTATAACATAAATATTATAAATAATAGTAAATAAATATTTATAAAATATAAACAAACCTTTTCATATAAAATAGGAAATGCATATTGTATACGAAGAAAAAAATCATTTTTATTATTCTCAGATTTATCCATATTATACGTAACAATATAATTTTCACTTATTTAAATTCTTTTTAATTTATTTATATAAATTATATACATAAATTTTGAAAATATAACTTTTCAAAACATAAATTAAGCATTATTTTCTGAATTATGAAAGCATTATACGTATGTAAACAGTAATATGAGAATCTTCTAGGATAATATATATGTATTATTTCGCTATATGAAATTTGTACTATATGAAATATATATTATAAATAAGATACATTGAATTTTATTCATAAATCTTTTGATTTTTACGAAAATTGAATTATGTATAAATTAAAAATTATGTATAAATTATGTATAAATTATTCATGAATTATTTTTTATTATATAATATTTTATTATATAAATATAAATATCAACTTATAAGATCCTGTCCTGTCCTAAAATAATATTTAATATAATATTATTATACATAAAGCTAAATTTATTTATATATATTGTTAATATAGTTTATACAATTGTAAATGTTATTATTATTTATTAACATAAACAACAAAATATCGAAAATTTAATAAAAACTCAATAAAAATATTAAAATAAAATATAAAACATTTTATTTAATATTCATATTATAAATATTTTCTGAAACGCATAAATTTTACAAAGCAAATATAAATTAAAAAAATAATGGAAGAAAAAGAGAAACTATAAATTGGGAAATCAGCGCCATTTTTATTAGAATACTGCAAATGAAATATATAAATAAGGAGAACAAATAATAAAAGAAGAATAGAAATAGAATAAGAATTTAATATTAGTGCCATTTTTTGAATATCAGAAAATATTCAAAGATGGCGCTGATTTTCAATTCTTATTCTACTTTATCTACTATTTTTGAAAAAATGTCTTTGATATTTAAGAGATGACACTAGCAATCAATTCCTATATTATCTCTATCTTCTCTCACTACTTTCTATCCTTTCTTTATATGTTTCATTTGCGACACACTGAAGATGACGTTGATTTTAATATTTTTACTCAATCTGTCCTTTTAATATTTGCTTTTCTTGTTCGTACTTGTTTTTAACGCATGGTCACAAATGAAGTACAATTAAACAAAAATGTCGATTAAATATACTTTTATCATTTTTTAAAATTACAATATACCTAAATTTTTAATATAAAAAATTATTAGTTATTACATTTTCCATTTTACAATATTTATCTAAAATAACGATTTCACAAAAATATAATATATAAGTATATGCAAGTATTTTGAAGCATTGCTCAGCGATAATGTTAGATTTAAACGAAAAAAAAACTTCAGCAACAAAGTAAATAGAATATATTTTAATATAATAACATATGTATTTTAATATATGCTCAAAATTATATTTATTTTTTATACAAATTGATATCAAATTCAAATCATTGTTTATTGTAAATTTTATAAATATGAATATAAATAATATAAGAAACAAAGTTCTATTCAATTAATATTTTATTATATTGAATCTGATTTTGAATTATTATTATTTATAAATTCATTTTTGATATTAATAATGGATTAACACTTGATGATCATTATCAAATGTTACATTTAAATCTTCCTTTAATATAAAAAGATATAAAATCAAACAATAATTATAATAATAAATTAATTAATAAACCTGTACATAATTTAAAAAAAAATATATAAAATATATAAAGTAAAAAAGAATATATAGAATATA